ATGTGAACGGCGGTGGTCTGACAGCTCCCATATCAAAGGGGTCATTGTCAGAGCTTAAAAACAAAACTGCTATAACCTATCCAAAAATTGTATCTGTTTCACCGCTCGGTACCCTGTAGGCTCACACCGATCAGTCCGTATTTGGGGTCAGTTACCTAACCCAAGAGTTTGCGGTCATTTCTGGGCAAACGCTGTATCCTGCCATGAATRAAATGGCCAGAGGTGATTCAAAACTCACCACAGTACTTCATGAATAACAAATAGCTCCTGTGCAGAATCAGTGACACCAGAGTCGGTTTCTCCTTATGTTTTATATTCCTTTTCCTCCTGCAGCTCCTGGCTGCCCCAGAGGGTCCCGCTCCGAGGGAATCACTGGCAGAGCTCATTGCTGGAACTCAGGACATCCCTCCCTGTGAGGTGAGTGCAGCTTCCTTGGAGTTACACAGAATTGCTCTCATCCATTAGGGGAACACAAATTTTCCCAAGTCCAAATTAACCAAATTAGGCAATGGGAAGGAAAATTGCTGGTGTTGAATTAAAGGACAAACYATCTTCTTTCATTTACTATTTCCCTTCTAGAGCACAGCCAAAGAAGAAGAAGAAAGTGGATGTGAAGAAAGAGCAAGCACAGAAGGARCGTATGAAGAAGAAGATTAAAAAGTTAGAAAAAGCTGCCCCAGAACTTATTCCAATTGAGGATTTTATAACACCACTGAAGTACTCAGAAAGCAACAGGTGAGTAGGGTCTGTCTTTCACCAAGTGCCTGCACTTGCAGTGAGTTGCCTTCTCTGCACAGCTACAATGTAGTGCCAGCTTTGGTACAAAACCTTATCCAATTCCATCAGGGCAAAAATGTGGAAATATTATTTGTTCTTGCTAAAAGTAATGAAAAAAAACATACGTGAATTTCCTGTTTGATTGATTGGAAGAYCAGTTACAGACTGACTAAATTATGAGTGAATTAAATATAGTCCCTGGGTTTGGTGAGTTGGTTCTTTTTTTGATTTGTGGTGGGATTTTTGGTTTTGATGGGCTTTTTAGCTTGATCTTTGGAGTCAGGCTATTTCTCTTTTAAAATGTTGCCCTTTTCTCTTCATCAGGGTGCGGAGTCTTCCCGCTCTTTCTCCTGAAGAGTCTGAGAGAAGAGTTTTACTCCTGAAGAAGTGGTGCGTGTTTAAGCAGAAACAAGATGAAGCAGAAAAGAAAGCAATTAAGGCCCTTGTGGAATCACAGCAAGAGGCACTGCAGGAACTGCGCCTGGAATCCGAGGAGCTGTACCAGGCAGCAATCMGGAGGGATGAGGGGCTTCTCCCCTTCGAGAGGGATGGACCCAGTTACACCCCTCCCCTTCCTGGCTACGACCCCCCTGAAGGAAAGTGCGTGGACATCACCAAGGTGTACACRCAGTGATGGAGGAGCTCCTGGTTCAGCTGCCAGGAGGTGCTCAGCTGACTGCAGGAAGAGTGGAGTAAGAATAAACAATGCTTCCTGCAGGTTACAACACTGCAGGGTGTGACTGTAAAAAAAAAATAATTATCTCTGTGTTGGGGTGTTTTTAATGACTATCCAGGTAGTAACACATCCAGCAAAGCTTACACAGTAGCAAAGCCTTTTAAAATTTTTTTTTATTCCCAGGTAACTGTTATAACTAAGTTTCCATGGGTTTGCCCTAAAACAAACCAGATGTCTCTCTACATTCGTTTAAACCTTTATGTTTTAGTATTTTTTTAATACTGCCACAACACAGACCATCACTCGAGCAGTTCCACAAAGGGGCAGTTTCAGGGTGTGCAGCACTTTCCTCCCACGTGAGAAAAGCTTGAACCACCACAATCCTGATTCTGGGAAATGCCTTTTAAAGGTCAGTGGTTGGGATTGTCCTGAGCTGGCAGGGAAGAGTCCCAGCTTGTTTTTGTTTCCCATGTGGCTGGCTGGGTGTGAGTATCTTGTTCCAAAAGTTCTCAGTGCCAGCTGGTAGGGTAAGACACCCTCAGAGCTAGATCATGTACTCATTAATTTCAAAGTTGCTGAGCTGCTGAGATGAAATCCTGCAGTGTAAGACAGTAAAAGACCACAATCAAATTAGGCACCTCAAATTTCCCTTTAAGAAATACCATGTTTAAATGAACTTCCAGTATTTTCGAGTGAGTGCTGAAGTATTCCAGGGCAGAGCTACAGTTGTGTAACTTCAGGATGACAGGAAGAAAAAAAAAGCCAGCATAATTCTGAATTGTGTATTATGTTAGTGACCAAACACAGGAAAGAGCCTTATCAATTTGATTTGTTGTGGTCAAGTGGTAGATACCAGTCAGATGGTGGGTTCTTCCTGAGCTTCCACAC